TAGCGGTTTCATTCGTGCACTTTTCTTGTGAAATTTTGGTTGCGAGCACTCGGAGCGTCTAATTGTGATCGAGTGGCATTGTTGCCGTTCTGCCGGAAATGAGTTCCTCGTGGTAGTTTTTCTAGAATTTTCTGGACGTGATTTGAAACAAATTTTCGGAGGGGATTTCCGGTCGCGATGTTACCTGCTGGCCAGTCTTGGTAGGGGCAGTTCAGTTTAAGTTCAGCAGCATTGTGGTGAGTGCAAGTACGTCTAAGGGCCCATCCAATTTCAGAAGGCTTTGTCTGGAACCTAGGAACTTGGTTTCCCATTGAGGATTAAAGGATCCGCCCTGGCTGGCGAAAAAGTTTCTCATCGATTTTTGGAAGATTAGTTGGAGGAATTTCGCACCCGTTTTGGGGATAAAACGACTACTTCACCACCACCGACCACGTTGTGCTCCACCCAACACCTTGGTAGCACCCCTAACTGCTGCTGAACTGGCTCATCTACAAGTCCTGGGAATTAATCACTGGTGAGCTTGATATTATTTGGTTGAATTATTAATTTTTTTTTTCCTATTGGGAAAAGAGCTGTTGGAGCTCATGCATTTTTTTTAATATTAAGGATTGGTTGATTGGTTGTCCTAGAGGTTTGACCTCAGTTCCTGTCGTGCATGTTTGCGGCCGAATCCGTCCATCACCGGCTCGTTGCAGGCTACAGAGGGCAGTCCAGGCCTTTCTATAGGAAAACCCTCGCCAGAGGTAATTATTTTTATTTTTTTGGGGTTTTATTGGGGAAAAATTGGTATCAAGAATGTGGGGACTGATTCCTGTCTCTATTTAGGGTTTTTTGTACGGGTCTGAATCAAATTGCACCACTCTTTTGGGGGTTGGGGCCTGACCTTTGGCATCAAGGCACTCCACCTCTCCAGCAAAGGGCTCACCACTTGCTAATACCAACCAGCTTTTCATCACCAACCACCACGTAGAGCTTGTTGTCAGCTACTGGAGCTCAGCTAAGTTTTATTGGAACATTTTCTTAATATTTTATCTACCTCATCATACTTTTATTTGAATATTTTTTTTATAATAATTTTGCCTACGTCATCCTATTTTTTTTTATTGAATATTTTCATAATGTTTTATTAATGGAATATTTTCTTAATATTTTATCTACATCATCATACTTTTATTTGAATATTTTTTTATAATAATTTTGCCCACGTCATCCTACGTTCAATTGAATATTTTTAAATTATTTTACCTACTTCACCACCACCCTTTTAATTGAATATTATTATTGTGAGGTCACTCACTAATATTATATTGGGGCATTTAGTTCACTGGCTTTTGGCTTTGCCAGCTTATTGTACACCGTATGGTGCGAGGTATTATGACGTCATAAGATCGATCTGCGCGTATGGTTTAATATTTTATTCGAATCACAAGTGTGTGGTAATATTGGTAATTTTAGGATGAATTTAATCTGATTGCTATTGAGAACATGGAGCAGGCTGTTCAATTATTTTGATTTATTACAAATACATCCATACTGTTCATGCTAGTAAATGTTCGTTGGCCTTGTTCTCAAGAGTAAGTACATAACTCGAAACGTTTCATATTTTTTTTTTTTTTTTGTATTAATTCATTATACTGAATTGTGGATGACAACCAGTAGCCTGATGACACTGGTGGTGAAATTATAGAGGTTCTAGAACCAACTCTGATAATTCAACTGTGTTAATAATACAATGATTATTACATTAATTAATACACATTCCTAAATTTTGATACCGATATTCTGCCTGTTTATTTGCACCTTCCCCTCCGCCAAGTTGTCAGTAATTTCAGATGGTGTATGCAAGGATAAGCCAGTCATTGACTCTCTTGGGTTTGGTTCAGGAACCAACAATTCGTGATTAGTGTGGGTTTCTGGTCAAGGTTTACGATCTAAATTAGGTGACTAGTGGTTTAATTACGTGGCGCCTTATAAATTTTAGACAGCTTCGAACCACGCCTTCTCCACTGTTTCAAAGCTGCCGGGTACCACTTTCACATAGCTATAACCAGACAAGAGTTTCATATATGAATTTGCTTGCCTTCTTTGGAAATTAACGCCACAGGATCAATAAACATTTTGTGACTGCAGTGAACTGATTGAAGTTGACGAATTATTTATGTTGTGCTCTCGTGCATCTAATTAGTTAATTTGTGTTTTCGTTCATTGAACATTTAACCATAAATGATATTATTTGTATAAATGAGAATCAAGGCACCCCTAACCCCATACAAGGCTTAACTGATCCAACACCTAATGGTTAATTTTTATAGTTAGTCAAAATAAACACTTGGCATCCCTGGTGCGGTTTGACTAAAGCCCAAAAAGGGGCAATAGCTAGTTCCGTCACACATTATGATCCCAAAATGGATTAGGTCATAATAATTTACTATCTCTTTCTAAAGGCTTATCATTTTGAAGAAAATAAGGGCCGGTTTCTCAATAGCGAGTCACCTCCAGGTTAGTTTTAACTCCAGGGTAAACGTGTTCAGTTGCAATGTTTACGTTGAAGTTATGCTTAACCCGGGGGTGACTTGCTATTGAGAAAACGGCCTTAAAGAAACAGAAAACTCTTCGAGAGTTAAACTTTCCGAAGAAGGAGTTGTCAGTTCTTCTAAGTACATGTACTTATATCTAATTGTTAGTTCTGAGTGACAATTATACCTAATTGTTAGTTCCAAACTAACATTAAGGTGGTTGCATGCGAGCAGCATCAGTTGGATACCGCCACCCCTCAAATAATATTGTGAATTTTTTTGTTATTTATATTCTAAATAAAGGCATTTTTATTATTATTATGGCATTGGCACTTCTTTTCTCAACAGAGGGGAACATTCACTCATCCCAGATATTTACATAACAAAAGGATTGAGCTCTGGTGGGGCCTTTTCCATATAATTGGGCCCATGGTGGAGTTGTATTTGTGAGACACCCATTTCGAAAACTTGCGAACTGCTCGGGATGTTGCGAGTGGCACTGCCTTTTGCATGACCCTGAAAAGATATTCATTAAGGCCAAGCTCCTTGATGTTCTGGAGCAAGTTCTTTGGGATTACTCCTATTGTTGACATAATGAAAGGCAATTTTCGGACGTTTTTCATTCCCTATTGTCTCCTGATTTGTTCCTCTAAGCTAGGATATTTTTCAATCTTCTCTGTATATTTCTTATTGAAATTATGAGTGTTCGGTATAGCCACCTCTATCAGAGTTGTATTTCTTGACCTTTTATCGACAAGAATAAGATCTGGCCTATTATGAGAGTCTGTCAAAAGAGTGCGATCCCAATAGAGCTTGTATAAATTATTTTCCAAGATTGGCTCAGGATTGTACATATAATATGGAACTCTTTGCTCCTGCGAGAGCTGTAATTTCTCTGCTAGTTCTTGATGCAGAATTTTAGCTGATGCGTCGTGTGTCAGTTTGTATTCACTCGCAGCGAACATTTGACATTCTTCTGTGAAATGCTGTATGGTTTCCGACAGCCGATAACCATACCTACAACTATCATCCGATACTGCAGCATCTCTCATTATATATTTAAAATAGTTTCTGGTTGGGATCACCTGATCTTGTATGGCTACTAGAAAGTCCTCCGTCTCAGGAAACATCTGTCCCGAGGCCAGCCAGTAGTTTGACGCTAGGTTGTCGACGTAATCCTGACTTACCTCATTCAAATATCTTCCATGCAAAGGCTTTTTTCTCCAACTCTGCAGTTTCTCATCCACTGATTCGTGATGTATTGAGACTTGCTACTCTTTTAGCTGTAGAGGAGTGAAGTTATCTGTATCACATATAAACCGATGTAAATCAGACGTGCCTGCTTTTTGTTGAAAATAGCTGCGCATGTTGGCGATCTGTTGGTCTAGCTGCTTTGAAATATCTGCCAGTCCTCTTCCGCCCCAATGCCGTGGGATTGTTGTACTTTCTGTGGCACTTCTTGGATGATGTTTTTATGCTTTTGTGAGTTCTGATTTTGCACTGAAGGTTGCTGATATCAATGCCGGACCACCTAACTATCCCGAAGGAATAGCTGAGCGTGGAACAAGCGTAGGTGTCAATACCCTAAACAAATTTTTGCTGTTGAGTTGGATTTTAACAGTTGTCGTCTTCTTCTTGTAAACTCGGCTGTCAGTTTTGAACAAAAGTTTTGTCCTAATTCCTTTTCATAGTCTTGAAAAAATGGCAGTTTTCCGACAAACCCTTCGCTATTTCCAGAGGTAGTTTTCTTAAAAAAACTCTTAGCAATATTCCTCTTTCTTTGACAAAATACGTTTTTGAGGTAGTCTTCTATCAAACAAAATGGGTAGTGAATGTGTCATTTAAAGTAGGTACTTGTCTAACTCCTACACTCCTTGCTTGGAACCAAATTACAAATTATTATTTTCTGACCTTTTTGAGTTATCCTGCCCAAAGGCATGCTTCCTGTTAAAATGTACTTATCCAAAAACTGTGTACTGTGTTTTGCATTACTGCAAAATCCCTTCCCAAATATATTTTCTGTTTTCAAAATTTCATAAAAAATACTTACCCCTGTAAACAAATCTATTTCTTTGGGATAATTAAACTTTTGTCTTGGGAGAATTGAACTTCACTCATTAATCACGAACCAGGAGTTTTCGTGTGATTTTCTTGAAAGAACTAGGACTAGTGTACCTACGTGACAAGGGTGGGACACTTAACAATATTGTTCTATTTTTTTTGTAGTATATGTTTCAATTCTCGCTGGAAGTAAAAGTAGGTGTATTCTTTCAATCTAAACAAACTGATCGAAGTTACTTGAAGTTTGTTTCGAACAATTTTCATTTTCATCCGGTTTTAAAACGATTTCATTGGCCCTAGCTGGTTTTTTGACGCCTTCTGAGTCATGAACAAACCTCATGTGATCACAATCCGTTTGTTCAGATCGAAAGAATACCAGGAATATCTATTATGAATTTTGATTTAAATTATTTTTTGTTTCAGGTCAAACTGTTGGAAATTAGTGAAAAAATGTCTTCAATTTAACTTTAAGTTTAATTTTGTTCATCAATAGTCATATTTTTAGAATATTTTTTTTCTTCTAATTTTTTAGAAATAATTTTATTTTTGTTCCAAATCTCTATTAACCTATTTTTATATTATAATATAATTATAAAGGATGTGAGATTTGTGGGGATAGAAAATGACTACTGAATAATTAATATTGTAGTTATAGTAACTAAACTAAATATGTAATAGGTTGAAAAGAGAATTTCATTGTGTTTTTCTTCAGCTTTATTTTGTTTCACTGGATTATAAACAATAGTAGGTATGTTCGTTTATGGAATATGCTAACTACAAACCGTTCGTTAACTTGGTAATTATTGTGAGGAACTTTCTAGATAAAGATAAAGTGTTTCTAATATCTTTACCTATGTATTACAAGTTAAGGAGTAGATTTGTAGATGATTAAAAATGCATGATATGGTTTCAATAATAAATTGTTTAATAGGCAAAGATTAGTATTTTTTTTTCCTTATAGAAAAGAGGTAGGTACCTGGTATCTATTCCATTTGCAAAATGGAATATAGCCGGAGATACATATTTCTATTTTTAAAAATATCTATGATCACAACTAGAAACTAGAGACTAGACAAAAAAAAATATCACTGTTTTTACAATTCTGTCTTAAGGGATGGTTTGAACATTCTTTCGTCATTTGCTAAAAACCACTGCTTGTATGTTTTTATCGGATCGATCATCCAATGTTTATGAAAACTAATGGCATCTTTGACTGCTAAACGTCCTGGAGCATAGTCATCCGGACGAGCCTGAAAGAAAAAAAAAATTGGATGAATTATAACGTGTAGTGAGGCCCACAGAAACTAAGTTTCCACTAAGAAAAATCCAGGGCCGGTCCAACAGCTATTATATACCGAGGCAAAGTTCAATTCTGGCGCCCCCTTCACAAATTGTATTGAAAAACGATGAATTTCAAGCTATCGTTTAGAGAGGAGTTAAGACAAAAAAGTAACTTAATTTTTTTTTAAAAGTACATATAGCATATCCACTTATTACATTATAAGGTCTGTTCTCACAGAATCACAGAAATCACAAACCAGTCGAAGTGTTTTTGATTGGTGCAAATCGCCAGCAACCAGTTTTCTGATAGTTTACAATCACAACCAATAAAAGTCGGTCCGATAGACCAGGACCCGTCTGGCTTTACGTCTTGCAAAGTCACATAATTCATAAACCAATCAGAGGAAATTTCATTGGTTGAAAATAGTCATAAAACTGGCGATTTGCACCAATCGAAAACGCTCTGACTGGTTTGTGTATCTGTGAGAACATACCTATAATCTACTTCATCGAATCTTACATAACCATCGAGTGTGTTCAATGGTCGAAGGTTATAACATTTTCAATTCCTGCAGCAAAAGTCCATTCAATCTATTTTTTGAGACAAAGACGAGACTATAGATGATCGAAGGTGCCGTGATGAGCGGTGACAGGCGTGAGGCGACAGTGGTGACACATAAATTAACTATCACCGGACAATGTTGTCGGATCTTTTATTTTCCCCCTATTATCCTTGTTGTATGAAACATTTTTTTAATCCACTTTAAATAAATTTGTTTGCAATTTGGCGCCCCTAATCGTGGCGCCCTAGGCGGTTGCCTCAGTTGCCTGTGCCTAAATCCGGCCCTGGAAAAATAAGGAGATTGAATTCGGCTTTGTGCCCAAGGGCAGAGATAAGGAGTTCTGTTATCTATATTACGGTGGGCTCACGCGTTAGTTTACCAATTCGCAATGAGGATAACAAACTACAAGTAAATGGTCGGAAGCATAAGCAAGTGACAACTAAAGTGGCCAACAATATGAGTAAGTTTGTGTGAAAAGGTAATGAAAATATTTTCGAAATTATAGGTACCACCCGCCATTGCCTTAATTTTTAAATCTGTGCCTTTTTAAAGGAAATTGAAATACCTACCTGAATTCAAGAATCCAATAATGCGAAAACTCAACTAATCTGATCACTCTAATGTCAGTGATGTACACACGATTTATTCATGTATTGAAGATGTCTTTGCATATCATTATCATTGTTTCTTCAGAGAAGAATTAGAAAGAAGCTAATAAATAAAGAATCTTAATGCCAGTTCAAGTGCTGGACTAGTCGTAGATCCACCAGATTTGGGGAATTGTGCTCTTCAAGAATATAGAAACAAATATAGGGCATCCCATTTGAAAAAAACTGAAAGCATGCAACAATTCACATTTCTGACATTCAATTTTTGTTTCTAACCATGGATTCTAAAAATTTAGCCAAAACTGTACAACTTATGTCTTTACACCTTTCATCTCCCTGTAAAGGTAAAGGCTGTAGGTGGGGTGTCAATACATAAAAAACACCCTGTACCTAGGTATAAGATATATTAAACAAAAATCACCCTACCTGATGCAACTGAGGTATATGAACCAACGTTAGCCCATGTTCCAGGGCACAAGCTCCTATCACCATATCGTCTGGGGAATCAGGACGCATGCATTGGCATGCTTTCGCTAGTATTTCCAGTGCCTGCCTGTTGATCACAATCCCTGCTCCACCAGTGGGGTAGTTAAAGCCATGAACTCCAAACCGATATCTTTCTCCTAAAATTAGGGATCGAGTTGCGTTCTGGTAGCAATTAGTTAAATTGAGTATTCCTGATACACTGAAATAATAAACAATATCCATAATGTATTTATACAACATTTTACATCACCGATTTGCCATCAGAGAGCAAATTTTACCAGACCAAGGCCCTTATTCTTGTAACAGAGGAGCAGCTTTCTCATGAGAACGAAGGTTCTGTATTAGTCGCTCATACTTATATTTCCATAATACTGACAAAGACAGAGCAATCGTTCTCGTGAAAACGCTGTTTCCCGGTTACGAGAATAGGCACCCAGAAGAAAAAAAGTACCTTAAAATAGTGTCATCATCAACCAAAACAAGCCACCGTAACTTTCTGTTGTTATCAAATATTTTTAATGCATATTGAAGAATTGCCATTGTCTTTTGGCAATGGCCTTGTTCTGTGTTTGGCACGTCCAATGATAATGTTGGAATTCCTGAATCTGAAATTTTTATAAATGCGTAATTTTTTTAATGCTTCTTTGTAAATTAGGTAATTAATTACTTATTACCAGTAACATCGCTAAAAATAGCAGTATTTACGGTGTATTCTAACCAGGTTTTTTGGACAACTCGCAGTCTCTCGTCGTGGAATTTTTGGCATGTTTTGATGGCAAAAAAGATTGATGAAATACCATTGTAATCCTGCATTTCCTGCAATAAGTAAATTTGTTGATCTTTTTGATCTAAGAATTTGTACATGTGTTCATGTGTTGCTAACATTATACTACAAAATAAAAATTAAAAAAATAAAAATGCATAAGGTATAAACGACAATAATGAAAAAAAGGTTGAATAAGTCACAAATTAATATTGAACGAACCCTGCTAGAATGGAGAAACTGTTGCTCCTAAAATTGTCGTATTTTATTAGGTTATAGGCCAAGTTTTTCTTTCTGCTGGGCTTTCATAGTTTTTTGCGTAGCTTTTCATTCTAGTCTGTGTGGAAACGAAAAGTGAAGGTTTAGAGACATGGCAGACAACTTTGGAGCCAGTGAACCCAAGTTAAAAGGCCAGAAAAATTATGAAGAATGTGGATTCGGTGTACAGAATGTTCTCATTTTGGATGGCCTTTTGGGCTGCTGAAAGCACAGAACCTGATGCAGACAAGTGTGCAAAAGCGAAGGCCAGAATAGTCCTCACGATAGGATTCAGCACTATTTTCACATAATAAAAGTTCAGTCAACACCCAAGAAGGTATATATGGTATAAATTGAAAAGTACATGTTTTCTGACTCAGGTCAAACAAGAAAAATTAATTTGTTGAGATGTATAATACCTATCTACCAACATGGAAAACTCTGAATCTATGGGTGATTATGTGAATAAGGTTGTTGAAACGTCACAGAGATCGAAATCTATGACATGTGGATAGGCTCCTTATTGCTAGCTGGTTTGCCTGAAAAGTATTCTTCTATATGGCAATCGAGCATCATAGTGGTATAGCCATAACTACTACAGATGCCATCAAGACGAATTTGCTGGATACAGAGGTGGAACCTCAGAGGCATGGTGTAGCTTTTGCCGGTGGAGGGGGCAAAGGAAAATATTCTGAGAAAAAGAAAAATAAAGGTGTGAAATATTATGCTTGCAAAGAGTTTGGACGTATCAAGTGTGGAGGCTAAAAGGTGAACAGAATAAAAAAAAGTCTCATACTTTTAGTGCAGTCTTTTTGAGTACGCAGTTTCTGAAGACAGACTGGTGTGTGAGCTCGGAGGCAAGCTTACATCTTTGTGTAAATAATGGATGGATGGAAAATATTTCTAAAGGCCGTTTTACAGCTTGCAAGAAAACTTGAATGCAATTTTTTGCATGCAAACAAACTTGAATGCAATTTTTTGCATGCAAACAAATTGCATTCAAGATTTCTTGCACGTCGTTTTACACCTTGCAATTTGACTTGTTTCTTTCTCTTAACCTTGACCATACTTTTTTGTTTTCAATGTTCTGTTGTTGATGTTTGCATTTTCCAAAAATAAAGAAAGTGATTATAAGTCGATATAAAAAGAAGAAAGCAATATCAGCAACTTTAAGCATCATAATTGCTAAAAATTTCTTAGCTTGCACGAAAACTTTCAAGAAAAATGGCACCAAACCGATTGCATGCAATGCCATTCAAGTTTCAAGAATCTTGCTGAAACCAATCAGCTGACTCACTTCTGCGCATGCCCTCATTCAAGTTTCTTGCATATTGCAGATAGAATTGCAAGCTGTAAAACGGCCTTAAAAATTGTGAGTTGAAGGAAATAGTAGTGGCTAATAATACGAAAGTACCAGGCAAGTGCATGGGTAATGTAGTCTGACAACGAGGTGTGTAAATAGCATCTTTGAGATTTCTGTCAAAAATGTGGTTTGTGTGCAACGGAATAGGGAACTTGCAAGTGAACTAAAATTTTCCAAATTTGTTTTAAATCGTTAGTTTATGCTGCACAATATTCATATGACCAGTTTTTATTTAACTGATACCGCCATTGTTACACAAAAAAATTATATTAAACTAGCTGACCCGGCGAACTTCGTACCGCCTCTGAATTATTAAATATACCTATTGAATGTTGTGTTAACGTATCTATTAGCTAAATTGAATTCAGTTTATTTCGATGGTGAATTTGGCTTTGGTTGAAGAAAATTAATGTTTACTCTCTGGATCAGAAGTCACATACCTAAAATTAAAATTTTACATCATCCTTTTTTAGGCAGCTTGTGGGCATTATTCTTGTAAAGTGTACCACCAAACAGAGCTGGGATCGTTACTTGAAAAAAGTAACGCGTTACTTTACAGTTACTTTTGCTTAAAAATAACTCGTTACTTAAAATTTAAAGTTACTTTCGAATAATGATAACTTTATTTTCGTTACTTATTGGAAAGTAACGCGTTACTGTAACTTCTTTACTTTGAAAGTAACTTCTTTACTTTAAAAGTAGTTCGTTACTTTTAAAGTAACGCGTTACTTCAAAAATAACTAATTACGTCGAAAATTGCGTTATTCCTTAATTTGACTCACCTACACAGCAGTCCAAACAATCAAATAAGACCTATACGAAATGCCAATATGTTTTTAGTTTGTGAGTCCGACTACGTGGAAGAGTATTTTTGCAAAATTCAAACGGATTAAGGATTAAGCGACTGAATAGAGCACTTGGTTTTGGACAAACCTGCTCTTTGAAGCGTCCCAGTGTCGCATATAATGTCTTTAGAGCAGAGGCGCCACGTGGCACGCCCAAAAACGATTATTTTGAGCTTTCAAAACAAATTTTCTGTACTACCAACTTTTATTTGACATACAAAAATTACTTATTTTCCTTTTCTTCACTCGTTAATTATTTGTGAACAAATTGAGAGAACGTGTTACTTTCATAGTAACTAGTAACGCGTTACTTCCAGCGTTACTTCAGAAAAGTAACGTCGTTACAGTTACTTATCAATCAATCTGAAAAGTAACGAAGTTACCAAGTAACGCGTTACTTTCAGTAATTCGTTAAAGTAAAGTAACTTTTTTTTTGTCGTTACTCCCAGCTCTGCCACCAAATAAATAAACTCAGGCACAGGAATGTTCAAAGAATGTAAAGAAAACAAAAAAAATCTCCAGCGCAGCCCTGTTTCACTCTATCTGCACTACTCTATCTGATCTACTCTTTCTGCACCACTCTATCTGATCGGAATAGTGGAATAGTTCTGTTCGAAATAGCTCCAGTTCCTGAGCAGCATTGTTCTACTGTATCTGCAATGCCGAGCTTCGTTCCAGGTATCAGAGATGGCGCGGTATACAAAATACAAAATAAACTTGATATCGGTTATAAGAGATGGCGCCGTATGCGGGCTTAGTAATTTTTTTTCATAAATAAATAAAATAAGTAATGAAATGACCACATTATCAACGCTGAAAAAAGTTTCAATTTGACAGCAAAATCCCCATTAACAAAATGATCCTCCATTTATTGAATAATTCATTTATTACAAAAAATTTGATAAATGAAGAACCGCTGGACCGATTTTGTGCAAACTTCGCATAAACCATCTAATAAATAGTCCGAACCTCAGAGCCTAAACATTTGGTTTGGCTAGGTGAGCCCGTTCTTGAGTTATAAAATTACAACGAAAAGTGGCATTCATTTTTATATTGTATATAGATATAGATTTGAAATAAAAAATTTCCCGCCAAAACAATGCTTCTATGATGGATACCTGTTTTGACGTCACGATTCTGTAAACAAACCCGTCAATAGGAAAATCTTTGATAGGGAACTTGCACGTTAAAAAAATACAAAAGCAGTCCTTCACAATATTCTTCATCCATTGCGACAATTTTCATGAAAAGCAAACTTTAACACACTTGAATAACATAAAAATAGCTCTGCGTTAATCTGTGATGTTTACAAAATCTCAACGTCACAAGCGCTGTCAAATTGGGATTTCGTGTTTTCGCGCCAAAGTATTCGATTTGAATTTCAATAATTTTTTTTCGTACAACGTTTAAATTAAAATGGAAAAAAAGAAAACTATGTAATAACTGATCACTAGAAGTTTCTAAAAAATAATAATTTGAGAAATATGAAAATTCCCTATTTGCTATCAGCGGCTCAATCAAAAATGGCAATAGAGTAAAATTTGACACACAGGGTTGCCAAATTTACAACAGTCAAGGAAAGCTGGTGGCAACAGCTGGTTTGGTGCAAAATGTTTACGGGGTTGATAAGAGTGCTTGTTGTCTGCTAAATTCTGGAGAAACTTGGCATAGAAGGTTTGGCCTGGCTACATTAACTCTGCAGATCTCAATAAAATGAAGAAAGCTGCTGTGAAGGGAAGCAACATAGGCTGCAATTTCCCAAAGAAGGCAGTAGTAGGCACCAGAACCAAGGAAGTACTAGAAGTCATACATGCTGAGTTTGTGTGGATCGATCCACAGGAGGTTCAAATTATTTTGCTTTATTCAAAGATGATGCCACAAGAATGACATTTGTTTACTTTCTTCGATCCAAGGATGGAGTGTTTGACAAGTTTTTGGAGTTTAAAAATTTAGTTGAAAACTAAATACCGTAAAACGAGGTTACTTTGTGACAAATTTTACGGTTTCGGTTGATTTTTCTGAATCTGAAAAGAAAAAATTAATTTCTGGTAGGTCAATGATAAACTCACATCATTTGGCTTTTAAAATGCAATGGAATACCGTAGTGTCAGTATACTTTGCCATCCAAGGTGACTTTGCCAGAGTTGACTTTTTTTTTTGTAACAATATTTTTTGTAACTCCAATGGCAGAAACCTAGCGGAAGTTGTAGGAACTATTAAAGAAAACGTGGTTAACTTGTTGCAAATAGTCAGACTTGCGATTGCTGCGCTATGGTGCTAGTGAACACGTGCTGCATATAAGCTAAGAATTTTACGGTTTTCAATTCCTAAAATAGTAAGACTTGTGACACCTTTATGAATACGATTAACCCAAAATAAATCCTTTTTCCAAAATATACACTTCATCAATGGCTAATGATTGTGAAATTTTGAAGTATTGAAAAATAATGGTTTTTGAGATTTTAAATTATTTAAAAAAAAGTGTGACCTTGCAAGCCACTCGTAGGTGTCTTTGCCTTATATATTTCTTACCGTTTTTGGTTTTTGAGATCAAAATATGGGTCGAATCTACACAAAAAAAAATAGA